GAGGAGGGACCCATAAAAGAAGGAGAGAAGGGGAAAAACATGGAAAGGGAGGAAAAGAAAGAGAGGAAGAAAGAGGGAGCGGATGGGGAGGGAGGAGGCGGCCTCGGGCGGCAGATTTTGGGGGGGCGGAGGCGCAGGATCGCGCCTGCGTTGGTTTCCCTCCTCCACCTCCCAGCCCTCCAAGTGGGGGTCGCAGGCTTGAAGTTTTCCCCCCTGCAAATCGTTGTTTTTTTTCCCCCATTGCGTTTCCCACCTGGGGTGGCTCAGGCGGCACCTTGGATGGGGACGGCGCTGGGGCCAGAGGTCTCCTAGGGGGATCCTGGCCCCGTTTTTGGGGACCCGACCCTTCCCCCCTGCAAATCGTTGTTTTTTTTCCCCCATTGCGTTTCCCACCTGGGGTGGCTCAGGCGGCACCTTGGATGGGGACGGCGCTGGGGCCAGAGGTCTCCTAGGGGGATCCTGGCCCCGTTTTTGGGGACCCGACCCTCCTTCTTTTTTTTTCCTCCCCCCTTTAAAAAAAAACCAGAAGGGACTCCTTTGCTCCTCTCCCACCACCCGCCCCACTGGGGGCCGCCCAAGGATTTCGGCCGCCTGAGGCCGGGAAGCTAAGACCTTCCCCGCCAACCCAGCAGACACCCTTTTTCATACATCCCAAGCAAAAGCGCTCTCCCCCCCCAAAAAAAAAACATGGGACCCAGAGATGCTCCTGGTGCATTGGACTACAAACCCCATGAGGCCCACGAAGCAGGCAGGGGAGGATGGGCATTGTAGCCAGGACCCCTTCCCACCTACCGTAGCCCTTGACGCTCTTTCGGCTCCCATCCGCTGAGTTTAGCCCCTCCTGGCCTGACTGGATCAGAACTCAGGGCCGGTCAATGTCACCAAGCTCCTGTGACGGGGAATGTAAATAAATGTGAAAAAGAATAAATAAACTTTTTTTAAAAAAAATACTTGTTTTTCTCTCCCAAAAAAGAGAGAGTTACAAATAAAGAAGCAATAGGAAGGAATAAATAAACTACAGGTACGCACCCGGACAGCAAACGTCAAATAAAGCATATTGTTTGGAAGGGGGGAAAAAAACACAACAGCGTGGAATTTGTGAAAAATAAACTCACACATGCACAAACACAACACCCCTTGTGAGATAGATCTAGTTCTGCCACTGCTGCACCCTTGGTTTTTTGTGATCAGAGGGCGGTGTGGGGCACGGATTTCCTAAAAATGGGGCAGGACGAAGGGCCGGGTGGTGGTGGGGAACCAACGCCTTCTTTTCTGCTCATCATCTAACCACGGAAAGCCGGGTTGGACTAGATGACCTCAGAGACCCCATCCGGACCTATCCTTGTAATCTTCTTTAAACAGTTTTAATTTGGGCCAACATTTAAAAAACCTTTTTATGGGGGTGGGAGGGAAATGGAGAAGCTGTTTCAAAACAGTTTTTTTTAAAAAAATGCAGGGTGTGTTTGCATGTGACATATTGATTTTATTTTATTTTATTTATTTGATTTTTACCCCGCCCCTCTAGACAACGTCTACTATATTTCCCAGGAATGTTTTAATTTTTTTTCCGTTGTCACCAGAAAGCAGCACCGAGGAGCCATGGGGGAGTTTTGAGGACACACGGCGTGGGAAAGACAGGACTTGGAAATGTCGGGTTGGGGACTACAAATCCCCCCTGCTAGCATAAGGATGCTGGGAGGCGTAGTCCCCCCCCCAAAAAAAGAGCCCTTTCGGATCCCTCGAGGAAGCCGCTCTCTCTTATCCTGAAACGACTAGGTTTAAGAGTTTCTGAGGGAGCTTTCCAGAACGGGAGGCCTCTCCGGTGGCTTTGGACTACAACCTCCATGGGCCACCAACTGGGACGGCCATTGAGGGTGGATGATGGGATTTGAAGGCCACCGCATCTGGAAAGACGCAGATTGAGGGAATCCACTGCAACGTCTCTCTCTCATCTTGACCTACATTGAAGGGCTGTCGTGAAGACAGGGCTGAGGAACAGACGTGGACATTATTCCCCATTTTTTAAAAAAGAGGGCCACGTTTAAAAAAAAAAGTGTCATCTCCTGCGCCCGAGATCTCGTAGGCAAGGACATGCCACGCCATGCCCGAAGCTCGCCAGCCAGCATTCCTGGGCCCGCCGCCGGCTTAGGCCTGCAGGTCACGGGCGGCTGGCATGTGCGTACAAGCCTATGGGAGGAAAAAATACAACTTTTTTCCGTGGTCTGTAAAGGCAGCCGCCTCTAGTGGCAGAAATGTTTCCCAGGCGCCGGTCCTTTGTCCGCCCTTCTGCCTTTCTCGGGCTTTGGACCAAATCCGTCCCCGCTCGGCGGTGGGCCAAGAGGCGGCGGGCGCTTTGAAGCCAATTGTGCAAAATCAGTTCTTTTTTTAGAAAAAATAAGGATACCAGCAACCGAGCTATAGAGAAATCTCATAGAGTAGCTTCTTCCGTTTTCCAAGCATTTTCTTCTTTTGACATTTGTGGATATATATACAGTATATATTTTCCCCACCTTCTTTCTCCCTGAGCATTTTCTGCCGAGTTTGTTCCCAGGAGAAACTGCAAACAGATCCTTCCAGGTTTTTTTTTAAAATGCGATCTTACCAAAGCAATAAACCTATAAAGACTAACGCGTTTACAGTGGTGCCTTGCTAGACGATGATAATCCGTTCCACTGAAATTGCTGTTTAGCGAAATCATCGTCTAGCGGAAAGCATTTTTCCATTGGGATGCATTGAAACCTGTTTAAAGCGTTCCAATGGGGAAGAATCGTGGTTGTCTAGCGAAGATCGGCCATAGTAAAGCCGCTTTGCGAACAGCCGATCAGTTGTTTAGATTGCTGTCTTGCGAAGCTTAGGTCCCGAAAACACCCGTTATAGCGATCGCAAAAAGTCAATGTCTAGCGAAAAAACGGTCATGCGAGGTAACTGTTTAGCGAGGCACCACTGTATTCGGAATAAATTTTTGTAGGCCGCAGAAAGGGTGCTCCTGAACTGTTGGCGTTCTGTGCATGGAAAAGTCGCGACTGACTTACCCTTAACAGGGCTTTCGAGATAAGCGAGATATTTAAGGAGCGGTTTTACCAGTTCCACACCCCCAGTGAGTATCTGTTGGTCACGCCAGGATTTGAACCCATGGCGCACGAGTCTTAGTCTCTCTCTCTCTCTCCACTACATTCCTGAGTAGGTAGATTTTTTTTTCAAAAGGTATACTATGCTTTATTTATTTATTTAAAATATATTTTTTTTACCTTGCATTTCTCCTTGTGGCTGTGGGCAAGCTGTACACTTCCAGCCCCCCTCCCAATAGATTTCAGAGCGAAACAAGAATACTATAGTCAAGTAAAATTGAAATAATATTAGCTGTGGGTCCGATGGCAATTTTCATATATATTTTCATTGTATTTTCATTGTTCTGAATTTTTATTGTATTTTAAATGTCGTAAGCCGCCCAGAGATCTTTGGGTAGTGTGGGCGACATATAAATAAAATAAATAAATAAATAAATAAATAAATAAATAGGTGATGATGATGATGATGATGATGATGATGATGATGATGATGATGATGATTCTACTTCAGGATTGAGACTTTAGGACTAAATCCAGTCGGCTGTCCAGCGCAGAGAATGCCCATTGAATCAATGGGGGAAGGAAGGGTCAGCTCTTATGCTAAGCCCATTAAATACAATGGGGCTGCTGCAAAATACCATATCCTCTGGAGTCAGCTCTTCATTGCATAATTCTTCTCTCCTCTCTGTTCTCCTCTGCATTGTGAAAGGGGAGGAATAATGAGGAATTGAAATTATTTTTAAAAGCAAGGGGTCTGGGCACTTGCCCGGATGCCATGAAAAAGGCTTTAAACGGAGTCACACTGTTTTATTTATTTATTTTTCAAATCTGTGTGTTTCAGATGGCTTTCAGTTTAGCAATAATTCCATGCTATAATTTGAAAAAGGGTAGCCATAAATCAGAATTGATTTAGCAACCTATTATTATGATGAGCATTGTTCGAAGGCATGTAATTGGTCAATAATTACTGGGGTCACTGCCCTTTTGATGATCTTTTATTATCAGAAATATGCAGTTTATTATTATTATTATTATTATTATTATTATTATTATTATTATTATTATTATTATTATTATTATTATTATTATTATTATTATTATTATTATTATTATTATTATTATTATCTTCACACAGAACCTATCTGACTCCATCTCACATTTCTCTGACTACATATCCCATACTACTTCATTACTATTACTATTACTATTACTATTACTATTACTATTACTATTACTATTACTATTACTATTACTACTACTACTACTACTACAGGCAAGGGGGAGACTGGTTGGTGTTTTTCCCCTTTTAAAAAGACAGTAACATTTCACTCTAAAAGTGCCCCAAGTGCTGGAATTAATTCCGAACTCATAACATCTCTTTTGGGGTGGTTCATAATTTTTTTAATTTTATTTTAAAAGAAGATACCTCGAAAAGAAGGTTTAAAAATAGCAAAAGAAGGGAGAGAGTCTCCATAAAATGCTTCCCCTGACTTAAAAAAATAATTTTAAAGGTAGATTGAAACAATTTTTTGCCACACATACACATAACAAAATTGGTCTTCCCACTTGTTTGTCTGTTTGTTTATTCATTCATCTATTCATCCATCCATCCATTCATTCATTCATCCATTCATTCATCCATCCATCCATCCGTCCATCCATCCATCCATCCGTCCATCCATCCATCCATCCGTCCATCCATCCATCCATCCGTCCATCCATCCATCCATCCGTCCATCCATCCATCCATTCATTCATTCATCCATTCATTCATCCATCCATCCATCCATTCATTAATCCATTCATCCATCCATTCATTCATGCATTCATGAATTCATTAAAGTGTACAGTCACTGAATGTTGGATCCCACCATATAAATAAGCTTGTTAACCGATGGCAGTGTGAATTGTGATCTCTCGTCCAAGCTTGTACCGTGCCTCCAGGTAAGGCCGGCCCTCTCCTCTCTTAGAAGGGGCCACCACCAAAAAAGGCCATGCCTTTTTGCTCCGTTCTAGGTCTCTTCTCTGACGTCGCAAAGCGTTACACAACTAAAATCTCAACTGATGGCCTGGATTAAAGAGAATAATCATACAGTACTCGCACACACACACACAGAGACACACACATGTCCATCATAACATCAGTAACATCTGCTCCATCCAAGAGATAAATCTGGAAGAGACGTGGGTTTGAATCCTGCCGCTTCTATTGCCTCTGATTTGAAGTCGAATTGGTTGATTTTTTTCTGCCTCCCATCAGCTTGCGTCCGTCCAAGGGTTTTTATACGTATTCACTGTGAAAACGGGAATTTCCATATCTTTCTCCCCTCCCTGCCGATCCTTCTCTGTACGGGAAACCTCAGCCTCTTTCTCCTCTTCCTCTTGAGTCGGAGGGTGATGGAACTCTACCCCGAGCTCATACACGGCCACCCCCGTGGCAGCCCCAATCATCGGGGCCACTACCGGCACCCACCACCAGCAGTTGCCAGCCCTGGTGGAAAAAAAATAACACAGCATATGTTGTGGTTCGGTTTGGTTTAAGAATTTTTGTTGGTGTTCGAGTAAGGCGGAGGGCTCCTGAGCCCATGCAGAGTGCTAGAGTCATTAGAGGTTAGGGGAGTGAAGAAAAGTTTTAAAAGGAAAAAAAGTTGTAGCACTTTAGAGACTGTTAAAAATTAAATAGCATACCAAAAAAGAGAGAGAGTAACAATCCTAAAATATCTACTTCTTTGGAGATAACATAATAAAAGAAATCAGAGTAGAGAGCCTCTGAGCATGTCCAAACAGCACGTCAAGAAGCCATGAAAATTAACCACCCCTGCGCTGTCATGCATCCACACCACATTTGGGTCTGAACTTTATGGGTGCTGGGTCCTATTTCCTTCTCAACCCCCTCACCCTGTCCACAAAATAATGATAATAACAGGGACCAAATTTGACAGGAGTTGCCCCCAGAGTGCCGGATCCCAGCCATAGCGGTGACTTTAAAGTTCGGAGCAAGACCCGGAGCAGATTCGCCGCCAGCCTATTCCATGCAACCCTTCCTCACCTGAAAGGCTCGCCACCTACCAGAACACCTCGGGGCCCCATCCGGCGACGTAGGTGAAGAGACGGGGTCCTAGGTCCCTGGCCGGGTTGATGGCGCAGCCGCAGTTGACCCCCATGGCCAGCCCGAGGGCGAGGACCAGGAAGCCCACGGCAAGCGGCTCCAGTCCTGGCGGGATGCGCTTGTTACGGGTGTCAATGATGGCCAGGATGCTGAGGATGAGCACGGCGGTCCCCAGAACCTGTGGAGGAGGAAACAGTTAGGGGGCTTGACCACATACGGAAAAGAAGGCCAGACAGGATCGTGGCGGGGCCTCAGGCGGCCGATACGGCGGGGGCGGCTTAGACGAACCAGGCCCGTGGGTGGGAGAGCCGGCCCTACCTGGTCGAGAAAGCCGTTGCGAAGGGACAGGTAAGGCGCCGGGTAGGTGGCGAAGATGGAGGCCGTTTCCCGGGGACCCGTGACCGCAAGGGTGCCGTTGCTGAAGCTGTGGATGGCGTCTGGAGGCAGAAACGACAAAAACGGGTCCCTTTTCTGGCATTAATCATCCTCCTGCGCCCTCAAGTCCTTCCCACTGATCAATAACAGATGTTTAAGGCCCCCTCGGAGTCCCAAGTACAGGTGTAACGTAAAGCGGCAGCGGTCACTTTGGGGTGTTTACGTCGGTGTAAGGCGGCCAAAGGAATCTAGCCGGCTGTAAAAGTGTAACAGGGGAACCTTGAAAGGCAAAAAGTCCTGGAGTTTCGCACCCTGTCCCTCCTTCCTCTCAGATTTTGGGGGAAAGGACTTTACCGTAATATAAGGCGTAAACGGCGCCCGCGCCCAAAAAAGCGCCCGCCATCTGAAACAGGGAAAAAATGGGCAGCTTCCACCACGGGCACTGATCCAGCAGGCACATCGCCAGCGAGAAAGCTGGGTTCAGGTGCCCCCCTGCAAGAGAGAAGAGGAGGCGCAAGAGAATTAGAAAAGAGACCAGCGCTTGGAAGGTGACGTCGGTGGACTACAAGACCCATCATCCCCCGCTGGCTGAGTGAGCCGCAGGATTCTGGGAGACGGAGTCCGAAAGAAGGCCCCTCGCGATCCTCATCTCTAGCGGCTGGTTTTGCTTGTCATGTGCTGGCTAAGAGGTGTGAGATAATTCCAGGAGCTAAGGTCGATGGAGATAAGAGTGTCAGCGGAGATAAGAGCAGAGATAAGAGTTTCGGAGCAGATAAGGGACTCCTAGTCAGCGGAAAAGCCATGCGGAGAAGAAGCAGGAGGTTGGCTCGAGCTACTGTAAACTCTCCCCAAGGACTCCAAAGCCCATCTTCCTCACCTGAGACGCCGCCGGAAATGTGGATCGCCACCATGACCGCGACGCCGCCTGCCAAGGCCGAGCTGAAGTACCCGCCCTTCGCCCCTTCGCTGGTGACGGACTGCGCGGCCCCGCTCAGCGTGATCAGCTGGAGCAGAAAGAAAACGAAAAGGAACAGTGGGGGAGAAATGCCGGCGAAACGTCCGGCTGGTCTATCTAGAGAATGGGGTGAGGAGTCACAGATGGTCAAGCTGCACATTAAAGGTCCATTTGAAAAAAAAATAGATGAAGGGAAAGAATTATGAAGAGCAAAATCTGCTCTCCCAGAAATAGGCCTGTCTGGACTTCCAAAACAGGAGCTGGAAAAGTCGCTTTGGGGTAGAATGGGAGCCCCTCAAAAATCTCCCAGCATTTATGGGCACTGTTCGGAGAAAATTGGTAGAGACAGAAGTCCGGAAGTTGACTCTGTTGGACTACAAGGCCCATAAACCCTCAGTGTGGTACAGTGTGCCCAAAATTATGGCCGGCCAATTCCCAGCTCTTGAGGGGCCCATGGCTGTCGTTGGCCTTGGTAGTCCATCAAGACTGTGGGAGGGAGGGGGCGACACAAGAGGAGACCTGACACGGATCCTAACTCAAGACTTACCCAGCAATACAGCATGCTGGTCTTTAAGGCGCTATGTCACTCAGGACAGTGTATGGCTACCCACCGGGCTACCCCCCTTGATAAACACATCACAGTCTTTAAAATTTGGGATACTTCTGTGGGAAACCCGTTTTTCATTCGCAAGATCTGAAAACGGCTCTCCATTAGAGGCCCGTTGGAACATTATTCACGGAGGGGGTTGCCAGAAGTCAGAGAAAATTTGGTAACCCCATAACAACAATTAAAAAATTACTTTTAAATGCGGCCATGAACTAAAGGCAATGATTCCTTTTGAAAGAAATAATTTCTCAAGCCCCGTCTTGGCCCTTTTCCCCAGCCTCATACCTCTCAGAAGTCTAATTCCAAACGGCCCCCACCCAGCACGGTAAATAGTTGGGGACTATGGGGTTTGTAGTCCACATCAGCCAGAAGGAAAAGCTGTCGGTCAAGCCGGCTGTGAAACTCCCCCCCTCCTGTTCCCGGAGGAAGCAAGATTCGAATTCAACACTCACGATTAGCACGAAGACGCCCAGAAGCTCCGCCAGGCACTGCCGGAGAAGGAGGTTCTGGAGACGGAGGTGGGCCCGGGCCCGGGCCAAAAAGCGACCGTACCTCATAGCAAGCGGGCACAGGGAAGGTGTGAGGAAGACAAAAAAAACACACACCCAAAAACGTCCCAGAGGGAGATGATAGACACACTTCCACAGCCGAGCTCTTGCGGCGGATGATAATCACTAATTAATCTCCCTACACCCACGGTGTTTAAATTGCCCTGATAAGTTGCATAAGGGAGGGGAAAAAAACGCCACCATGCAGATGGGAACGGAGATCCCAGCACGAAGGTTTGGCAGGAGTGTGGCAGAGACAACCGATCTTTGCCCTCTCCCACCGGTGGAATTCTGACCCCAAAGTCAGCCAGCTGGCACGTTCGAGCCGCTTGGAGATGACCCGCTTGGAGATTTGCACTCAGCCAACCTCGTGACGTGGCGACAAAACAGGCCAATGCGATTTTTAGGCTGCACGAACAGCAGTACAGTCCTCGAATTCCGCGAGGTTCACGTTTCTCCTTCTGTTTGGCACTCGGGAGGGTTCGTCTTACTCCCAGGTCCACTTCTGGACACCGCACTTCAAGAAGGATGCTGAACAAACTGGAGCAAATTCAGAGGAAGGCCACGGGGATGTCCAGGGGACTGGAAACCAGGCCCTTGGAGGAAAGACGGAAAGAACTGGCCACGTTTAGCCTTGGTACACCTCTGCGGGGTATCACTCCAGCCTTGCAGTGGGGCTCTGTAATTCCAGATTAAACCCTGAAAAAAGTCCCCCACCCCAAATCTCTTTGAGAAGCCACAGGGCTATCACTGAAAGAGACCTTCCTTTTGCAGCCAAAGGCTGTTCCCTTTCTATCGCCCTGTGGCAGTGAGTTCCACCATTCAATGTGCACCAAACGTCTTGCTGCTCAGAACAGGACTTTCAACATCGTAAGCCAGATCTTTCAAAAGCCACCTTTTACTAACCATGCCAGCTGGTGGATCTTTAGAGACTCAAAGCCAACCTCCCCACAAAAAAAACAAGCCCATCACTTGCTGGGTATACAGTAGGACCCTCGTATACACAAGGGATTGGTTGCAAGTTCCCGTGGATGCTGAAAACTCCTGATAATAATAAATGCTATACATAACATGGTAAAAGAAAAAGAAATCCAGAAAAAAAATATTTTCACTGTGTATTACCAAAACTGGCCACTAGGCAGATTTTCACCGTGTATTACCAAAACTGGCCACTAGGCAGAGCCAGAGATCATGCTATGTATTTAACTACAAGAATACATAGCATGGTCTCTGGTTCTCTCTAGTGGCCAGTTCTGGTAATACATGGTGAAAATACGTTTTTTGGATTTTTTTTTCTTTTACCATGTTTTTCCTCTTTTAGCATTTTTAATATTTTCAGACTACAGATAAGTTTTTTTCTTGTACCATGTTTTTCCTCTTTTAGTATTTTTAATATTTTCAGACCCTGATAAGTGAAACCATGGATATTGATCCCACTGATACAAGGGCTCCTACTATATATTAAACCTGCTGAGAGTGTAATTAATAGGGATGGAGGAGGAGAAAGAGGTGGTTAGCCAGAGAGTTGCTTTCTTTTCTCGTTCTTAGGTTCTTGACTAGAAAGGCCCGGAGGTGGAGAGAGCCGTTCGCCTCCCCCGGAAGGCTGAAAAAAAGATACAGGCGACCCGTGGAAGTAAATAAATAGAGATCTTTATTTATTGTTCTTTTTCTTGACCGCACGGCCTGCTCAGAAGACAGTCGGGCAGCAGAGTAGCTGAAGACACATAGGAAGGAAGCGAAATTCCAGCTAGATTTGGGCCTCATCCTGGAGACAGAAAGGAGAGGAAAGGAAGGGGGGAAAACAAGAAACAAAGCTGTTGAAAATAGAAGAGAGGGAATCACACCCCATAGCTCCTCCAGCACCCCGAACCCCACCCAAAATAGAACAGCTTTAAAACCCGAACGTCCTTTCTTGGTGTACGGTCCAGCTGTCTTCCAGTCGCTTTGTTTTGCTCATCACGACCCAGAGGGGGGAACCCCAGCGTGATCCTGTCTCACCTCCAGCACTACCCACTGGGCAGGATTACCGGCTCGAGAACCAGCAGCGGAAGAAGCTGTCCAGGATGGGGAAAGTATCGCCGAGGCCTTCTTGGCGGGGGGGACCGAACGGCCCCAGGGACCCTGTAAAGGAATGGCCCGGTGAATGGGGACCCAGTTTGCTGGGGATGGCACACCCCCTTGATGTTAGCAGTGTCGTGGAGGTTTTTCTGCGTGTGTCTGCCAAGGTGCCATCCTGGAAAGTCTGTACACCCAACGTGGAACGCAAAAACGCTCCTACGCGTTCTCTCTCTCTCTCTCTCTGAGTCTCCGAGCGGTTTCTGTCCAAGGCTGTCGAGAGAGAAGTCTGTACACCCAACTTGGAATGCAAAAACGCTCTTACGCGTTCTCTCTCTCTCTCTCTCTCTGAGTCTCTGAGCGGTTTCTGTCCAAGGCTGTCGAGAGAATTTTGCTTCTCATAACTCACCGGCATCTCCTTCTCGCGGCTCCCCTGCACTCCGCCGGGTGACCACGGTTTCCTCATGACCCTGGCTGTCGCGCACGGTCCGGCGTTCTTCCACCGTCTGGAGAGACCAAAAATAAATAAATAAATGGCTGACCTTCCAAAAGAATACCAGGTGGGTGGGTGCAGGAAGTATAAATGCCCTCGAGTCTTGGAAGGAGGGGAAAAAATGAACCCAACTGGATCTTTTCCCAAGGCCTGAATGCTTTTTGATTTCTGAGCTTGTGTTTGTTTCTCATGAGGACTAGAAACCAGAACCTTCCTAGAGGGATATTCTCCCAGCTCAGCCAGAACTGGCCGAGTTTGCTAAAGAGCCTGTTTTTTTACAAGACAGACAGCGATGGGAAGCATAAAACACACACACACATGATGCTGAGACAGTTTTCAACTCACCCCATCCGGCCCCATCACTTTTGTGATGGAGACGCTCTTGAAATAAGACCTGGGTTGGGCTGGCGGGAGGACGGTCTCGAGCCCTTCCGAGGTGACCCGCGAATCCAGATCTGCAAGGAAGAGGAGACTTTTAAGTTTCTTAAAAGCCGCAAATTCTTGGTTTCCACCTCCCTTCCTGGCACGCCACCGTTTTCGCTTCTCACCTCCGTCCTCCTTCGGGGTGCCTGCGGGAGGGGGGTGCACCTCAGGGAGCTGCGAAAACAGAAGGGAAAAATAAACTGAAGCTGCTGTGTTTCGGGCATGGGAAACAGAAAACAGAGATGCACTGGAAGAGACCACAACGCTGGGAGAAGTGGGAGGCAGCAGGAGAAGAGGGAGGCTGGATGTGAAATGGACTGACTCAGTCAAAGAAGCCATGACATTTGGCTTGTAAAACGGTTGAAGAGGGGGGCTTTTTTGGAGATCACAAGCGAATACAACCACTGCGATTCAGAAATGAGTCGATAGCACGTCACGGAAAGGAATTATTTTTACAAACCCAGAAGAACCACTCCGGACACTTCTGTTTTGACAACTGTGCCCACCATGACACATCGGACCCACCCGGACCTTTCTTTCCTAAGGTCAAAGAATAAACAACCTTCCACAAAATGATAATGAGAAAACTTTAGAGATGGTGCCTGGCAGACGGCATTACCCACCCCGTGGAACGGGCGCCAGGGTTTTATCTCTGGAACGGGAGGTCCCAAGTCATCCTCAAGAGCTCTCCTGCTGGGCCTCTGGCTATCTGGATGTTTCAGCATCGAATCCCGAAGCGTCTGTCTCTTCTGGTCGTCAGGCGGCGGCGGCGCCTCTATGCCACGAAAATCTGTGCCCAAAAGAGAATGAACCGGTGCCAATTAGAGCAAAAGTACCTATGATCCCCCATTTCTCTTATTGACCATGCTACTTTGACAGTCATCTTCACTCGCTTGATGAGTGGTGCCTCGCTTAACGACGATAATCCGTTCCAGCTAAATTGCTGTAGAGCGAAATTGTCATCAAGCGGGGGGGAAAAACCATTGAAATGCATTAAAAACTGGTTAATGCGTTCCAATGGGCTAAATACCTAACCGCCCGGCAATGATCCTCCATAGGGCGGCCATTTTCTGGTGCCTGTGAAGTGAAAAAGCAGTCCTGACAACAGCAGGGAGCCATTTTGCACAGCAGCCGGTCATTTTGAAACCCGGCGATCAGCTGTTTTTAGATCGTCGTAATGCAAAGAATTGGTTCCCGAAGCAGGGAACCGATCGTCCCAAAACAAAAATCGCCCTTTGAAACATCGTCGTGAAGCGGATTTGTCGTGGAGTGGGGTAATCGTTAAACGGGGCACCACTGTACCTCTGGACCTTAGAAATGGTCAGTTTCATCTTTGCCAAAGCCTGGGAGTTTCAAGTCCTCCTGAGTGTGGCTCACCTGGGAAAAAAAGGCCTAGCTGGGAAGGCTTCCAGGCCTAGCCTAGGCCGAGCTCCACTCTAGCTTCCTGCTTAGAAAGGCAGCTCCCCCAGTGTTTTCTGAATTGCTTTGGTTGGCTCTCTTTGCCAATTATCACCAAAGCCAAGCTCCTCTGCGAGGCCCTCAAGCTCGCTAGCAAATAGGCAAAGCAAACGAGTTCAAAAAAGGACGCTCCTAGCAAGCCCTGGGGCAGCTTCCTTTCTGCCCAGGAAGTTAAGAGCGGAGCTCGGCCTCGAAACCTTTGAACTAGGCCTTTTCCCAGGCGAGTCACATTTAAGTGCCTGTAATTGTGGGTCTCTCCGGTGGAACTCCCAGAACAGAGAACGATGGGAGTTGTGGTGAAAACAAAAACGAACCCGTCGTCCCAAGCAGCCAACGGAGAAATGCGAGAACCGAAGGCCCAGATCCAACGGAAACAATGCATGGTTTTAATTTGAGTTGTCCACGACAGCTCCCAATAGTTGTCTTGTCTCTCTAAGGCTCAATCCTGAGCACACAAGGGGCCAAACGTCTCACCTACCGAAGGGCTGTGCTGGCAAGCCCATCGCTCCCATCTCCCTGAAAAGGGCATTAAAATCCCGGAACAGCTCGTCAAAGGCAAAGTTGTCGTGGAAACGCATCCCGTCCGGCCCAAACGTGAACCCGAAGTCAAAGCGGTCGGGCCCGAAGGCAGATCCATAGCCGCTGTCCTCGTCCTCCTCGTCGTCTTCATCGTCATCCCGGGTGATCCCCCCGAAAAAGGGGTCTCGGGGCCTGGGGAAGCCGGAGAGAGAAAAACAGGAAAGAAAAGATGCAAAAATGTAGGAATCGGACGTTTGGGAAGTGGAAAGAGCAAGGATCTCAAGATTTCTGCCTCTTAAAATGAGATTTTAGTCCTCTCTAAGGACTCTGGCATCACCGGAGTTGAGACAGAAAGGTCATTTTAAAGCCAGATAAACAGACAGACACCAGAATCTTTTATTAAATATTAGCTCCAAAAAATCCACCCAAATTGTTCAATGAAAATACCCGTCAGCCTACCTCGTAGGGTTGTTGTGAAGAATTAGAATCAAAAACAGGGGGAAGGATCTGGACTAAGAATTTGGGTCTGTCTCGGGAAGGGGAAAGGGGCTGTAGCTTCGGCCTCCGCTGGAGCAGGCAGAAGCTCAACCGGTGCGGCTTCAGCTGGCAGGCTCCCAAGCCTTGGGTCACCCAGATGTTCTTGGACTACAACTCCCAGGAATCCTGGCCAGCCCAGCGAAGGGCGAAAAGGCTTCTGGGAGTTGGAGTCCAAGAACATCTGGGGGGACCCAAGGTGGGGAACCCCTGGAATGGAGCCAAGCTGCACCGGTGGGGTTTCTGCCTGCCTCTCTCCAAACTCTGGGAGTTCGAGAGGGTTGCAATGAATGCACAGGGACGCTCAAAGGAAGGGTGGCCAGCAAGGGGGTGATGGGGAGACGGAGTCCCCCCCCTTTTATTACTCACCTCTGCCCCCCGGGAAACCCGAAAAACCCCCGAAAGACGTCGTAGAAACTCATCCCACGGCCGCCGTAAAGCAAACCCGCCACGCCTTCCCTCCTCGCTGGCCTCTTCCGCCACTCTGTCGCGAAAGCCGTAAAGCCGGCCCTCTCACGACAGCGCCGTCCCTTTTCACCGGAAGAAGCCTGACCCAGACCGGAAGGTGTTTCGCTCGCCATCTCCGGAAAGCCCAGGAGTTCATAGAGCTATGAAACAATGAAGAGGGGCCCATCCTCTTTCCCTCTTTTTCCTAAAAGAGAAATACCTTGTAGAGAGGACATGATTTATTGGCTGATGTTAGTTTTATGCTCAGAATCCCAAAACTGAGCTTTTAAAAAAATAAAAAAATAAAAAAGCAACCCTCAACTGGCCACCTTTTCAGCCGAGCCAGAGGTTGGGTGTTCGATTCCCCCCTCAGGGCCTCCCTGAAAGGGGCTGGACTAGATGATCCACAGGATCCCTTCCAGATCTGTAGTTCTAACATGATGATGGCGTTGATGATGAGCCACAAATAGTTCTGAAATGATGATGGCGTTGATGATGAGCCACAAACCTAAGACTGCACCACAAGAGGGCACTCCGGCCTCTGGAATGCCTCCTTTTAATGGTCAACAAGTCGCAGTACACAAATCATCCACAAGGGGCGCCCCAAGGCAATAAACCAGTTCTTTTTACTGAGTGACACAGGGGAGGATAGTGGTGATGATGATGCACAGGCATAGCCAGCAGGGGCCACTCCCGCAGAACATGAGCAGCACAGAAGAAATGCTCTCGAGGAGGGATGTGCAGAGTCACCCAACTAGGTCCTGCCCCTCGAGCCGCTTGGGTTGAGAATCCAACACCACCCTTTATCTATGTCCCCAAGTGCGGTTTTAGAACTCTGAACCATCCCCTTCTCTCAAAGGTAGGCAATGCAGACAGCTATAAGAGACAGTGTGAGACACTCAGTATCCTTGGTTTTGGTGAACATGATGGAAAGAAGAGGGTTTTACTCCTGCCCACAAGTGCCTTTCTTACAGTGGTGCCTCGCTAGATGATGATAATCTGTTCCACTAAAATCGTTGTTTAACTAAACCATCGTCCAGCGGAAAGCATTTCCCCATTGGAATGCATTGAAACCTGTTTAATGCGTTCCAATGGGGAAGAATCGTCGTTGTCTAGTGAAGATCGGCCATAGGAAAGCTGCTTTGCAAACCGCCAATCAGCTGTTTAAATCGCTGTCTTGTGAAGCTTAGGTCCCAAAAACACCCGTTTTGCGAGCACGGAGGGAGCTGTCAAAATCGTTGTCTAGCGAAAATTGGTTTGCGAAGCAGGGACCAAACATTGTCCAGCGAAATTCCCCCATAGGAATCACTGTTTAGCGAATCGCTATAACGATCGCAAAAAGTCAATGTCTAGCGAAAAAACTGTCTAGCGAGGCACCACTGTAATAGCACAAACGCCAGAAGGCAGAAAGAAGAAAAAAGGCAGAGGAGGAAAGAGGAAAACCAGCCCCTGTTTGACCATTTCTCACCTAACCACTCAAAACCCAGCCCAAGAGGGTAGCGGCATTCATCCGTAGTTACACACATGCTCACACACAATCCTAGGAGCAAATGTTTGGGGAAACTAAAGGAGGTGGGGGAGGAGAGACAATTCTAGAACTCTGATCCAAGCTGGGGATGCCAATGCGAATCCTGCAATTTACGCAACACAGCTGGCCGAGTATCTTCACAGGAACATATCCCGCAAGGTGACCTCAGATCAGAGATGGTCAGGTCAAGGGCGGGCAAATTATAATACCGACTGGACATACAGCGCGCACAGATGCCCTCCTTCTTGCGTGTGGATGATGTTGCCGAGAAGCAACCAGTACTCTGAGAATTTAGGGTCTAACCACACAGGGAAATACGTCGCATTTTGGGCCACTCTGGGCCGTTGGTTTGACCACACTCTGATCCCACCCTAAGTTGGCGGCTACTATGTAGGGTAAATGATGTCACGCCCAAGGGAGTGAGAATTTAGGGTCTGATCGCACAGGGAAATACGTCGCATTTTGGACCACTCTGGGCCGTTGGTTTGACCGCACTCTCTGATCCCACTCTAAGTTGGCGGCTACTGTGTAGGGTAAATGATGTCACGCCCAAGGGAATGGTCTTGAGGGTGGATGATGGAGCCAGATAATGGGCACAAAGATGCTTGAACTGCCAGATAGCTCAGCGATTTAGGTCTCTCTGTCTCTGGATTCAGAGGTTGGGAGTTCGATTCCCCCACTGTACCTCCTTGACAGGGGCTGGACTGGATGATCTATAGGGCCCCTTCTAGCTTTATAAATCTAAGATTGTTGAACCGCTGTATCGGTCAGTGGTTTAGGGATCTGGCTGCTGAGCCCAGAGGTTGGAAGTTCGATTCCCCTACTGTGCCTCCTGGACTTGATGGTCCCTCAGGTCACTTCCAACGCTGCACTTCTGAGATTATTAAAAGAATAAGCTGCCTGAGGCTTTCCATATGGGACACTTTCCAAACCACGTGGTTTAAGCATCTCTCTCCTCATCTTTTGCAGGCAAATCCAGTCGTATACCCCCCAGACCTACCATTTGCAGCACAAAAAATGTCCAAAGTGCACTGCAAACGTTTTAATACTGTTCAAAAGATTACAAAAGGAAAAGGAAAAGAAAAAGAAAGGAAATTCAGACCAGGAGGCCCTGGTGGAATGATCTTGGTTTGGGGTTCAGGGGGTGCTTTTTGAGGGGTTCAGCCACGGAGTGCAAAGAGACCAGGTTGAGAGATCCTGTCTCCATCCCGTTGGACTCTGGAGTGGGGCAGGAGGCGATCGGAGTCCCCACGGCGGAAATCGTGACACGGAGTCACACAACGGTACGCAGGCAGCTTCTCGTTGCCAGCCAGCCGGTGCGATTATGGAAAAGAAAGGTGGTGGTCCTCAGCACCCCTAAAATTCCGGTGGTTTGGGGCTGCTTCCTGGGGTATTTGGACTCTGTAGTGGCTGAGTTTCTCCAGTTTAAAATATATATATATATATATAAAATCTACTTCATCCCTTTTTCGTAAAATGATCAGTCTTCAAATCTCTAAGTGCAAATCCATTTTTTTTCTCCCCAGCAGATCCAAAATTGGCCGACATTTATCACCAGAAGGTACTACTAAGAAACAAGGGGTGGGGGGTGAGTGTATGGGGGAAATCCCAGTCCCCATATTCTGCCGCTGTCACCGACCAGGATCCAGCCTGGGAAAGCTCATCATCATCATCATCATCCTTCCGGAAGGAAAACAGAGGCTTTCCGGGTGGAAAGGAAGGGAGGCGCCCGGCGGCGCCCTAGCAACCGGTGGCATCCAAACAGGCCCGCCGTTCACCGTTCACTAGATCAAGGAACATTTGCTGTGGGTTTTGGACGACCTCTTCAGGTCCAACGCTCCCTTTGCGGGTTGAGCCTGAAAGAGATAAAAGGGTTAGGAAGAAGGGAGGGATCGGATAAAAGCCAGGAGAATCATCTCTCTCCCTTCTCCGATAGCTTATGCCCCTGGCGAGCATCGGTTGCCCAAAGCAGCCACGTCACTGCACAACGGCCAAGGCTGGCTGGAAAGATCAGAGAAAAATAGAGATCTATCTAATCCAACCATCAAAGCACCTTGTATATAGCCTGCATTGGACTTTTCAGGTTCCATATTCTTTCTTTCTTTCTTTCTTTCTTTCTTTCTTTCTTTCTTTCTTTCTTTCTTTCTTTCTTTCTTTCTTTCTTTCTTTCTTTCTTTCTCTCTCTCTCTCTTACGCAATGTATTTCATTTCTGCTCTGATGTAGACTGCAATCAATATTTATTGCATTTGCTTTCATCTTCTAATCCTTGTGGGCTTTTCTCTTCCTTCCTTCCTTCCTTCCTTCCTTCCTTCCTTCCTTCCTTCCTTCCTTCCTTCCTTCCTTGCAACCTGCCTCATCTTCCATTAACATATCTAACCTCCTTCTTTTTAAAAAAAGATGCCAACTGGTGACTGTGTCACGTCTTGTAGCCGTAAGTTCCACTGTTTCGCTCTGCACAAGTTACATTGGATGAGTCTAAAATTCTAAGAGGATGAGAAAGCTAAAGAAGAGTGGGAAACTCGACCGCATTCACTTCTTTCTTCACTCTGTGTATCAAATCTGTAAACTTCTCACTGTGTCCGCAGTTTGATCTGACTTCCACGTTGCGAGGGTTGCAGGACCCCCTCCGGGGAGAGGGTTGGGCTGCTTGTCTCCAGCCCTCCGTCCCCAAGCTAGCTGACTTCATTCCACACTAGCCCAAATCTTCCCTGAACGGCCAACACAACTCACCGATTTTTTGCTTGATTTCAGAAGAATGTCCCGGGCCAAAGTGTTGAAAGCCTAAGTAGTGGAAAAAGAATAATAATCTTAGAACGGCAGAGCTGCACAGGGACCCGAAAGAGTCCAGCCCCCATCAAGGAAGCACAGGGGGGAATTTGAACGCCCAACCTCTGCAGCCAGCCAGCGCTCTGTTGCAAGCATGCATCAAGAAGGGTTTGGAATCCTGATCTCTCTTCACGACACCCCTAAGAGGCAGACCACCCCATCTCCCATTTAAGAGACAGGGGACAGAGAAGCAAAGAAACTGATTTACTTCCAAGAAGTTCACTTTTCTCATTTGGATGATAAACTGCTCCTGGATGCAGAGGCTCCATTTTGCTGCCTTTTCATCCCACCCATCTTTTTCTCTCTCCCTTGGACTCATCCTGATCTTTTTCAAAAGATGCCACCCACCCACCGATGCCTTCCCGGCACAAGGTGACCCGGATCAATCCCATAATAAGATCCCCTCCAGCATTCTGCCGAGCACGCTTCCACCTCTTCTTGTCTCTTCTTCGGCTGACCGACTCTGCGCTGGCCACCATCGGGTGGCTTGGAGACCCCAAGGGACCCTTTCCCCATCGATTGGTGTGACTCACCTCCTCTACGTTCACACTGGATTTGGCGCTGGTCTCGAAGAATCGGATCCCATGCTCCTTGGATAGCTGTCGAGAGAGTAAGAGGAGCTTGAGAGAGAGAGACAGACAGACAGACTAGATCCCACCCCGGTCAACAAGTGGTTTACCAGCCACCGTTTGGCTCCATTTTCAATTTCTCCGCCGCGTTATTCTGTTATTTTCCCCAGATCTGTTTCCATTCAGTTTTGGCTCCTGTTTTATGTCTTTTATTTTATTTGGTATTTTAATTGTGCCGTTGTGTCTCTCTTTTGATTGCAAACCGCCCAGAGCGGCCCTGGGCCAGGTGGATGGGATAAAAATGGAACAAATATATAAAACAAATACGTTTTAGCAAAATTCAAGCCATCTGCACAGACAGACAGACTAGATCCCACCCCGGTCAACAAGTGGTTTACCAGCCACCGTTTGGCTCCATTTTCAATTTCTCCGCCGCGTTATTCTGTTATTTTCCCCAGATCTGTTTCCATTCAGTTTTGGCTCCTGTTTTATGTCTTTTATTTTATTTGGTATTTTAATTGTGCCGTTGTGTCTCTCTTTTGATTGCAAACCGCCCAGAATGGCCCTGGGCCAAGTGGGTGGGATAAAAATGGAACAAACATATAAAACAAATAAGTTTTAGCAAAATTCAACCCATCTGCCCATCTAAAGGCAGCCTTTGTGCAAACTTTATTTCTTAATTCATTCTTTATTAATATTTGCACCCTTTACTGTTGTTGCCAGCTTTGTGTGATGAATGGCAGAGAAGCTACCTTGGATCCATCTTTAGGAGGAAGGCAGGGTGAACATATTTTAAATAAATCATTAAATTGAATGGCAGAGAATCCTTCTTTAGGAGAAAGGCGGGGTGAACATATTTTAAATAAATCATTAAACGTTGCCGACCTAGTATTGTGGTCTCGAGGTCTTTCAGGTTTCCAGTGCTGACTCCAGATATTTTGCCGCCTGAGGCCACGGCGGGAAAGGCACCCCCTCTTGATCCGTATAACAGAAGCTCCAGAGGTCAGAGAAGGATGATGATGCTTTCCAGCAGGAAGTGGAAAGCCTGGCTTGACCGGAGGGAGGCACAATCAAGCGGCCGAGCCATCTCTTCCTCCCACGGATTCTCCTTCACACAATTCATCCTCCTGCCCTCATCCCTGGCCATAACCCACATTTCTCTCCCTTGGAATCAGAGAATAACAGGGTTGGAAGGGGCATCGAAGGCCGGCCATCGAGTCCAACCCTGTGCTCAAGGTGGAAAGCCTGGCTTGACCGGAGGGAGGCACAATCAAGCGGCCGAGCCATCTCTTCCTCCCACGGATTCTCCTTCACACAATTCATCCTCCTGCCCTCATCCCTGGCCATAACCCACATTTCTCTCCCTTGGAATCAGAGAATAACAGGGTTGGAAGGGGCATCGAAGGCCGGCCATCGAGTCCAACCCTGTGCTCAAGGCAGGAACCCACAAGGGGCGTGGAAGGCCAGCCAACCCCGTGCTCAAGGCAGGAACCCAAATCAAAGCAGATCGGACAGACGGAGATCCAGTTTTCTCTCGAATGCCTCCAGTGTTGGAGTGCTCACCACGTCCCCTTGAGGTCATGGGTTCCCTCGCCGTACTGCTCTAAACAGTTAAGAAGTTTTTCCCCCCTGATCTTCAGGCTACATCTGGCTTCCTGTCCCACTGTTGCGTGTCCTGCTCTCTGGGAGGCTCGAGGACAGATCCTGCCCCTTCCTCTGTAGGCCAGCCTTGATCCTGCCTCTCCGACTGATACCATCTGCCCCGCTCACCAAACCCCAATTCTTCCCACTTGCCTCCTTGATGCTTTTCATCCAGTTCTGGATATTCTCGAAGGATTTTTCATCCGTGATGTCGTAGACCAGGATGATGCCCTGCAATGGACGGGACGTGGGTGCGAATTATTACCGAAGGCTGAGCGTACCCTGCCTCGCTTCTCTCTACGTGTCGCATCAATAGCAAAACACCGAAGTCCACGTGAGTAAGTTGAAGGGAGCCGATGAATATCAGGTTTGGGCTTGGAGGGGCCCTGCCCCGATCTTTCATTCGCCAGCCTGTGTCTGGATGCGTTTCCCCGTTTTAACCTATTCTGAATGGGGCTTCCCAACACTGTCCCTAGATGGCGATATTGATCTTTGTCCTTTTTAGGCTCTGTTTTGGGGGGTGGGGGGCGGTGGCAAGGAAACACTGACACCTATTTCAACCTGACCCAGAGATTTTTTTTGGGGGGCAAGGAGGGTTAGATCCCATACCATAGCTCCCCGGTAATAGGCAGTGG